TCCTCTTGGTCCCTTGTGAGGTTTGAATCATAGATCTGGACCCTTAGAGGTCCAGAGTGTCCCTTTACCCAAGCTTTTTGGGAATCAATGGAGGCTTTGGATTGGAATCCTCATGCCTTAGGTCAAAACTCCATTTATGATCCATGGGGTGTGTTATGGGCACCAAGATAGAAGCTTTACGTGATGAATCAGTCTAGGGAGGCCAGATCTATAGATTGTGGAAGCAGTTCTGACCTTAGAAGCATGTTGGAGTGGTTGCATGGCATGGACTCGCCGAGTCTGTTCATCAAACTCGGCGAGTAGTTTGAAGATTACCTTGGGATTGCTCAGTGAGTGGTCCAATCGAGTCATGGGTAGACTCAGTGAGTCAGGGTGAGTTGGAGAGGGGTGACGAGTGGACTGAGTCAAACTGGGCTCGCCGAGTTGTTCTTGAGACTCGACGAGTTGAGTCGGGGTGGCCCCGCGATTCTTCCAGGTGAAACTCGTCGAGTAAGGGGGGAATACTCGACGTGTAGGAAGGGAATTTCAGAGGGTTGGTGAAAACGTCTAGACTCGCCGAGGCGCCGTAGCACTCGCCGAGTCCGGTCAAAGTTGACCGTTGACCGTTGACTAGAGTTGACCTGCGTTGACTTCTTAGGGATAGTCAACCTTAGAGATATAAAGTGTTAATTAGAGACATATAATGTTATAAGAGGATTAGAGCTCGGAGGATCGAGCATGAGGGATTTCCAGGATTCGTGAGATACCGAGATACGCGAGGTGAGTCTTCTCACTATACTTTACCTTGAGTAGGTAACCAGAGTTATGTGATAGAGTATTTGTATGCTATGTATGTTATGTGTTGTACTGCATTATTTCTATGTGATTTATGTGGTGCATGTTTATTAGAGTTAGAACCTGAGGGTTCACAGAGTTTGGGTGCACGGACCCACAGAGTTATAGTCTCGAGTGGCTATTATGTGTTAAACGTGGTATTTTGGGGAACTCACTAAGCTTTGTGCTTACAGTGTTTGATGTTATTGTTTCAGGTACTAGTGATGACCGCGGGAAGGCGCCGGCTTGATCCGTACACACACTCGGAGTTTTTATATTGTGATCTTGGGATTTTGTATTAACCTATATTGGATAAATTAATATGGTTGTTTAATGAAGATTAATCGAATTATGTTTTATAAGAAAATTGAAAATTTTGTTTTGAAATTTACGGTGTTACAGTTAAAACCTTGTGAGAGCATGTTTTGGTATGTTGGAGCAAAATTACCATGCATGAATGTAAAGATTGAAGCTTTATGTGACAACTGAGTCTTGAGATGCTAGATCTAGAGTTTAGAGTGGTAGAACTGCTTAGAATCATGTGTATAAGGAATGAGTTTAAATAGACTCGTGGAGTCGATGAGTCAACTCTACGAGTCGGTGAGGATTTGTGCCGATACGCTTGATCATGTGATAACTCGGCGAGTTGGGGGTCAACTCGACGAGCTGAGCTGGACCTTCATGAGAATTTTGAGGAACAAAGTGAATTTGACGAGTCACATGGGTGCACTCGACGAGTCGGGTCAAACATGGACTGTTGACTCGAGTTTATATTATGTTGACTTAAGGGTTTGGTCAAACATGAGTAATGGAGACCATGGAGGGGTAAAATGGTCTTTTATCCACTTCAAGAGTTAGAGAGAGAAAGAATAGCATTTGGTTATTAGAGTTGAGAAAAGAGTATTAATTAGAGATATTCATCCGTTGTGTTAGGCGGAGGCTAGTTCAAGATACGAGTGCGAGGTTATTTGCTCACTTGCTTGCGAGGTGAGTCTTCTCACTATACTTACCTAATGTGGCAAATCTAAGTTGTGTGACCGAAAGGTCTTATGTACTTACATTGTGTATTATGGTATCATGTATTATTTCATTGTGATTTATGTTGTGTATTACTCAGAGCTTACAGGGTTAGGACATGACGGTCCATCAGAGTTGTGGGACCGAAGGGTCCAACTGAGACACATTGACCGGAGGGTCTTACTTTGTTATAGCCTCGAGTGGCTAAATAGTTGTGTGTGGTATTTTGGGGATCTCACTAAGCTTCGTGCTTACCGTGTTATGTGTTATCTGTTTCAGGTACTACTCAGGATCACAGGAAGGCACCGACTTGATTATACACACATCCAAGATTGAGTTATGATTGAGAAGATCCTGGAGTTTTGATTTATACATTTTTTAATATGAGATTTTATGATTTGACATTGTCACATTTTGAGATTTTATTACTATGATAAAGGAGTTTTTAAACTGAAAATTTACATCATTACAACTTTCCATTGAGATCTCAACCCGTTTATAAACGTGACTTTCTGCTCTATTACTTCACTTTTGATTTTGTGCTTCGCCATCTTTCTTAATAGATGGTTGTAGTGGTTGAAATTTTGGTTGATTTTTTCTTCCGACTTTTAAAAAAATGATCCAAACTCAAAAAGTAACAAGGTTTGAATTGAGTGCTCAAGATCAACGTCACTCGAGTAAAGTTCTCTAATCCTTTCCCATATTTTTTTTTTTGCAGTTTCACATGAGCTTACTAAATGAAACATATTTGATGGAAATGAAAACTAGATGATACTCATAGCTTTGACATTACTAAGCAACTTGTCTTTTTCATCTTGTGGGATATCATCAACTTCCAGAAGAAGATCGTTCTACTCTACTTGAGTCTTGATGACCTTTTTAGTACCGGTGTGAGCAAACGTCTCCTTGGTTATTGTGTCCCATATGAATGAACCATTATCTTCAAACCCTAGCACGTATTCTTCAAAGCAAATATCCCACACTTCATACTTGTCTGGAAAGAGAATTGAGATCCTTATTTTAGATCCAATGCCGCTTGAGATATTAATTGAGTTAACGGAAGAATCGCCAGGCTGCATGTTGTTGATTTGATAAAAACCTGTAGGAACCAGATGTGTAAACTTAGAATCGAGTTTAGCGTAAAATAAAGATCAAGATTCAACATCTGTAATCGATATAATCGAAGAATACGGCAAACTATAGATCCTATTAAAGCATAAACCCTAAAAGCTCTTTAACAGAGGACATGCGTATGGATTACATGATCTCCTGCTCTGATACCAATTATTGAGATTAAATCTAGAATGATCAAATATATTCAAACAGGTAAAAGAATGATGAACACACATAAAGAATATTAATGATGTCGAATGATTAAATATGACAGCCTTAGAAGAGCTCGATTAAGAACTGCTACTGTAAAGGCGTGTAGGGTGTACAATATGATTAGACGATCACAAGATATGGTGCACGCATGTAACTTAAATAGTAAAAGCCTAATAAATAAATGACAGGTGGATAGGTCCAACCAAGTTTACAAAATAGACTATATAAAAGCCCATAATGACGCAACATTAAATACCCAACATTGGTCTTTAGAAAGAATGTGCATTTACCGGTAGACATTGAACAAAAGGCGTTTTGAGCTTTGAAAACTTGCAATTTTGAGTTGGCCGAATTACAAACCAATCATCTAATATAACTGAATGCCCTGGAGGAATTGAGAAATAAAGCATACATAAGCTCTTTTATATACAAAGAAAAAACAAAGAAATGGAATGATGCAAGGTTGAGAGGACAGAAATAGTTTCAAGAAGGGGCAAAAATATCTCATTTTCAACTTAAGAATGAAGCTATTTCCCGGGAAATTACAGACACGTTGGGATGGGCCAGTTATTGTGAAACAAGTATTTCCACATGAGGCTATATAGTTAATCGCAAGGGATGACACTCCTTTCATGGTTAATAGAAATTGGGTAAAGCCATATGAGGAAGGGATACCAATTGAGGAAACTGAAGGAGAAATCGTGAAATTTGTAGTAAACCAAAGTAGAGCGCGAAGGAGTCTGGCTCACGACTCCTCAAAAAGAAGCGCTTGTAGGAGGCAACTTGTGGTTTAGATTTTTTGTTTCTCTTTCCTTTTCTTTTATTTGTTTTATTTTTGTTTATTTGCTTATTTTGCTTTATTTTGTTGGGTTTTCACTCCTTTGAATTTCTTTGTGGATTTCATTAAGAGGATAAGTATGGAATGAGTGTCGGGTGGAGTTTTTTGTATGAAAACTATGCCCAAGTAAATTATTTTATTTACCACGATGTGGTATGATACACCACTATGTGGTGACTTTATAGAACTTCACAGAAAATTTTTCGACAAAACACCACGACGTGGTGACTGTTCAACCACAATCATTTTTAGGATTTTTAACCTAAAAAGTTAACTTTTCTTTTTAAAGTTCATCCTCACTCACGTGGTACCTACTTTTCCACAAATCTTTCCTCCAATTTTTTTTGTAAGTTCAACTTTCTCCAACGAAAAGGTATAATTTTTAAATGTTTTTCATAGATAATAATCAAGTATTAATGCATCTATGGAACAAATTCACTGTTATGAACCTTTATTTAGGGTATTTTGTTAGTTAGGGCTCTAAAATTTGATTCAATTAGGGGCTTGATTTCGAATATTTTTGCCATGAATCTTACTTGTAAACTTATATTTTATGGCCTAAGTAAAACAAAAAACTTGATTTGAGTCAAATTGGTATGAATTCGTTCGATTTCAGTACTGAGTATGTGAACTGTTCGTCGACGACGATGACATGTCGTGGTCCTTGTCGTGGTCATTGTTATCTCAACGTATCTTGACTGTTTTTCTTCCTAATTCTCAATTGGTTGTTTGGAATAGTGTTCTATGTTTCTTGTGCAGATGATGCAGGATAGGGGTCACGAAAATCAACCATATGGGGGTCGTCCAAATTTCCCGTGGTACTCTTTCCCGAATGTGGTATCTCCTGAGGTTATGGTTCAATGGAATGAGAAGTTACCTTAGTTGAAAGAAGGTGCACACACCTGCAGAAATTAACTGGAGTTGGATGGAAGGAGTTGTCCTGTTGGAGGCACTTGAACTGTTTCTAACAAGATATTTTGATGAGGTCCAAGGCTAGTTTCTTTGTATGGCTTGGATACGCCTTTTCCACCCCCAAGAACCTGTGTACAAGGAACTATGTGTGGAATTCTTGGATATTGTGTATTTCACTAAGAAAAAAGGAGTCAATGATAGAAAAAACATCACGTTTTTCTTAGGAGGAGAAAGAAGAGAACTAAGTTTGGTGGATTTTGCTATGAGGACGAATCTTTATCTACCATATGAAGTTTACAGTGAATCATACATTGAGTTTATTTTTCAATGTCTCACTTTAAATGAAGAATTCAAGGAAGCCAACTATTGGCCTAGTATTGCAAATAGAGTGTACCAAAATAGGGACAACCCAAGAAAGTGAAATTTGGTCTCCTATTCATCGCCTCTTGCACATATTAATTACAAATACCATCAACCAAAGGTAGGAGTGTAACGCCCAGGTTTCATGGCTAAGTATTTTTGACAATATAATAGTCTAGGTCAACTATTGTAACTCTTTTGAAGTAATAAAGATGAAATATTTGAGTATTATGTGAATTATGTGTATTTTTGTGCTTATTATTTAATTATAAATGTATAATTAATAAAGAATAAAAATAAGCATCAAAAAAGTACGCGATTAGCCTGATATCTTTATATAAAGTTGTATTGGTCTAAACAAGGATTTCGGGGATATAGAGAATGCCAAAATCCGAGTTATAACGAAGAAGTTATGGCTCGCCGAAGTTTTACGGCAAAACCGACACGACACCGGGAGACGTAAAAAGTGAATTTACAATGAAGGGATTTTTAGCCTTAGTGATCTAAAACAAAGTTTTAGTATATGTTAAACCGATAACATCCATAAAAAGAACGCCCAAATCTGACTTCGTATGAGGAAGTTATGATTTTTCTAAGATTCGATTTAGCAGTGCACGGACCGAAACTCGAATTTTAGTTCGAGCGGTTTTTGGCTTAAGCAACCTAAATGAGAGTTGAAGATCTCATTAATAGGAAATCAACGGTAAAAGGATAGACGAAAACAGAGTCCGTATGTAGAAGTTATGAATTTTACGCGGACGTTTAACAGTATAATCACCTTGTACTGTTACATTTAAAATCGGTCGAGAATTAGCCGACAGAGTCAAAATGAAAGCTGTAGATCTTATTATTACCTACGCGTGGATATAAAGAACATCAAAAACGGAGGTTGTATGCGAAAGTTACGGATTTTAGAAGTCGGAAGTGTGCTGTGCGAAAATGGGTGATGTGGCACAATCTTGGCCATTGTTTTCTCCCCAAGTCTTGCCACTAGATGGTGACATGTGGCACCAAGTTCATCCAGTTTTCATCCTATAAATAGAACCTCTCCCACCATAATTTTCTTCACAACTTTCCCATTCTTTCTTCTCTTTACTCTCTCTCTCTCTCTAGAACCTCTCTCTAGCCCTGAAATCCCCTGAAAAGCCTAGGGAACCTCCCTAGCACGAGGTAGAATCCCCGGAGTGCTCGACGGCTCCGAGAAGAATAGATTTTTGGCTCGGAAACGCTTCTCCAAGCAAAGCTAGTTTTCTATAAAACCCGCTGTAAGCGAAAGTAGAGCGGCTCGTGCTTCCTACCGAGGATGAGTTGCAAATGGATCCTTATAATGTTGCCTTGAAACATTATCAAGACAACTTAGGAAGTGGTGTTAATTACACCAATATGCACCTCAACTTTTTGATGCAACACATGAACATCTAACGCCCAAGTGAGTTTCCAGTCCATATCCCTACATCCCGACATGGGGTGAGATTTGGACTGAACAATATGGAGGAGCCGAAAGAAGTGGAGGAGGAAATGATGATCATTGAAATTATCATTTTATTTGTTTCAGAGGATTTAAGACAATGTTCTTTTTATTTGTTTTTCATTGGTTTGTTTTATTTTCTACTTTCTAGGATGATGGTTATAATAAGAATTTAAGTATCTTGTTTGTTTCCTTGTTATTATCGTTTTTTGTCTTTAGTTTTCCTAGAAGTTCGAATTTGATGAGAGGAGTATTTTTCGCGATAAACTTTGATGAATTTAAGTGAGGGATGTGGCAAGAGATGCAAATTTGAGCATATAGCGAGTTAATTTGATCTCAAGAGCTGATGAGACACATTTCCAGAAGTTCACATCATCATTAGTGACCAATTTATTGAAAAAATATGTTGTTGAAATGCAATATTATTACATTTTTACACACACTGAGACGTGGTCACAATAACCACGACGTGGTGTCGTTACATAATACGCAAATTATTTGTCACCCACTTAACACGACGTTGTCTCCCTACCACGACATGGTGACTATGTCAAGTTCAATGAGTCTTTGTCCTAGAACTTAAGAAGTAAAAAATGTACAAATCTTCACAATGAGTTCCATAGCAGTCAACCACTTCCATTTTTACACATATTGGAGAGCGATTCTACACACACTCCACATGATTGACCTTGAAACTTCTATCCTATGGGAGTTTGTTCTTTTTTCTCCCTCTTTAGTTTTATTTTTTGCATAGCATGCAATGAGGACATTGCATCAAATAAGTGTGGGGGTAAGGGGTTTATTGCATTAGGAAAAAGCATTTGATTTTTGAAAAAATTTGCATTGCCATCACGATCATTAGTAATACTCAGAGTGGTTGGATCAGGTGCCATCATTGCTCCCCTCATCAACCCCGGACAATTGACTTTCTTGTGGTCCACATGGTTGCAATGGTAACATAAGAGACTCGTTCCCTTGGGACAATCTCTGCTGACATGACCAATCCTGCCACACTTGTAGCAACCCGAACCCCTAGATTGAAAAAATCCATCATGCTGCTTTCCGCACATGCTACACTGACCTCTTACCTACTACCATCTCACTCCCTGATCAGAAGTATTGGGTGTCTTCATAGGACCCCCAACTGTCTGAAACTATCCTGTCTTCCTCTTCCCGACGTGCTCCAAATGAATCTACCGCTCTTGGGCTATAGCAGTCATGTCCTCCAAAGCCTGACAAGTTGAAAAGCTCACAAACTCCCTAATATTGTCTCGCATCATATCATGGTACCTTGTCTTCTTCGTCTCCTCATCTGTGACATACTATGGAACAAAAAGATCCATCTCCCTAAACTTGGCAGTGATCTTCTCCACAGTCTTGGTCGTTTGGCAAAGGTCCTGAAACACCATTACCAACTGCTGCACCTCAATAGTTGGTGCAAACTCCACCCGAAATCGGGTCACAAACTCATCCCAAGTCAATGTCTCAATGTCTTCTCCTCCCAAAGAGAAATCTACCTCCTCCCACCAATCTCCAACTCTGTCTTTTAGAAGGAAATAAGCAAATCTAACCTTCGACTCCTCATGATAGAAGCTCGTCTGAAAAGCATTCACCATATCTGCTAACCGCCTCCTACTAGCAATTGGATCCTTCTCCCCAAAGAACTCAAGAGCTCCACAAGCACAGAACTCTTGGAAGGAAAGAATGAGAGCTCCCATAATATCCATAATATCGGTGCAGAACATGCCCAATTGCTCCTCCAAAATCTCCTTCTTGACTGAACCAAAGATCACAGTAGTCTACTCCAAAATACCGCGGGTGATCTCCGACGAGATGAACTCACATATCAGCTCATCAATCGACTTAGTACCTACACCTAAGCCTGAATCAGAACCTAAGGGTCTGTTTTTTTTAGAAGATTTGTGCAACCACTTTTGTCTGCGCAACGCAGACATATGCCTTCGCATAGTGTTTGTTTTTTGGAAGTGCAGATCAAAAAAAATATGTGCGAGGTCATACTGGCGCAGACATAGGGAATCTGCCGAACAGTTTGGGCCAAATCCTGAAGAAAGCTAAAAAGCGCTGTTTGATGAGCCTGCGTAGTATTAGGTAGTTGGTCAGGTAAAGGCTGACCAAGCCAATGATGCTTAGCTGGTCTTTTCGAACGTAGATCTTCGAGAACTCATATTGGACCGGGAATAAAAAAGGGACAAAAGTAAAGTATAAGCGCATATGGCACGAAAAGGAAATCCAATTTCGGTAAGACTTACTGTCTTCAAAGGTCTCCAGACCTTATTTTAACATAAAAAAACATAGGAAACCAGTTTTTTTTTTTTTTTTTTTTTCCTGAAAATGCATTTTTTATGTTTATGACATGAAATTAAGTTTGAAAAATTAATTTATTTCAACACCTGCAGACGTTAAAAACAAACAGTCTTCTTATTACAGACTGTATACATTTGGTCCACCTCTTCAACCGTAGAGGCTTGCGGATGTGGTCCGCAGACTGCAAACATTTAGGCTTTAAAAAAACAAACAACACCTAAACCTCTTCCATGCATGATCATCACCATACAGATAAGCAACCATACAATAATCAAAATATACTTAAAGAATCCTTATCCTACAGGCTTTCTAGATTCTCTGTGACTCCCCTCGATTCGAGTATGGATCCTGTTGGGTTATTGGTGTTGCGTCTTGGGCTCGCTTCCTAGCCCATCCTTTATGCGGTATGGGCCTGTCCATCCGTATCTTATTTTCTAGGGTTTGTGTATTTATAGATGCTTGCATGCATCTTTTACGTAACCGATAGATCAGGGTTTTACGGTGTAATTATAGAAGTTATCTTTTTGTAACCCTAGGATCCTCTACAGTGGAAGTTCTTCATCGAGCTCTGCTGAGGATTGAAAGTTTAATCATTCGACATATTCAAATCCATTCTTGAGTATTGCTTTACATTCTTTATATACCTGTTTCAAAGATCTATTCGATCTTAAAGATTTTTTATCTCATCAATTGGTATCAGAGCGGGAGGCTGTGTAATTCATACACATCTCTTCTGTGAAAGAAGCTATTAGGGTTTGTTCCGCATTAACTAATATTTATTGAGCCGTCACCCCATAATTGACGTATCTCATTACTTGTTCGTTTTGCCCTAATATTATATATTACAAGTCTGATCTTTCAAACAGGTTATTCGATCAAGCATGGACGAGTCGCCATCTAATCCCATTAATATTTCGAACAGCATTGGATCAACAACGAAGATTCCCATCCTTTACACCCAAGATTATGAAGTCTGGGCAAATCACTTTGAAGACTATGTTATAGGATCTGAGGACAATGGATACCTCATCTGGGAAGCAATCGTTTCGGGACCCTTTGCTCATTCTGCAACTTCAAGGATTATTAAAACTCAAAAGGAGTATAATGATCTTTTGAAAGATGTTAAAGATGTTGCCCAAGACGAAAAAGATAAATTTCAGTGCAATATTAAAGCATTGAGATTAATCAGATTCGCTCTTCAATCTGACACTTTCAGGCTGGTGAGTTCGTGCACTACTGCCAAAGAAATATGGGACAGGCTTCGCGAA